GCCAGGCACGGTGGCTCACACCTGTAATCCCAGTACTTTCGGAGGCTGAGGCGGGTGGACCTGAGGTCAGGAGTTTGAGACCAGCCTGACCAACATGGTGAAACCCTGTCTCTACCAAAAATACAAAAATTAGCTGGGCGTGGTGGCGGGCACCTGTAATCCCAGCTACTCAGGAAGCTGAGGCAGGAGAATTGCTTGAACCCAGGAGGCAGAGGTTGCAGTGAGCTGAGATCGCGCCACTGCACTCCAGCCTAGGTAACGGAGCAAGACTCTGTTTCCAATAATAACAAAAAGTATATTGTTTCTTCATTTATTAAGAATTCTGTAGTAAAAGATAAAATACAGAAGATACTCAATTAACATAAACCTTTAGCAAATTTTATGTTTTAAAATTATAGTCAATGAAATATGCCCAAATTAAAAAAATATAAAATAATGTTTAGCTTGTTTTGCTGTTTACCTTTATGTCCAGAACAAAATAATGTTTCAGCTCCTTTTGTAAAGATTCATTCAAATTAAAATGCATCATGCAGTTAGTACTTTCAAGCTTATACAAGAGTTAACCCATTCCAGCACCATATAAAGTTATCTTAAAGTATCTTATTTGACCCGTCAACAAAATAAAGTGTAGCCTCCCTCACAGCCCAGCAGCACTTTCAAACTTGCATCCACGACAAACAGAACATATTATAAGCAGAACACAAATGACCACTCCCTTGAAAACTGGAACTTAAGAGGGATACAGTGGCAAGAGGATAGTATTAGCATGTCATACTATATTAGTTAATTTCTGTTTTCACTAATAAAAGTGTCCTTAAAATAATTTATGCATATTTACACACTCCACCCAACAAAGAAAGCTCTGCTCCCTCCCACTCAAAAAAAAAAAAAACAAAAAAACAAAAAAAACAAATAGAAATATTTCCTCTTTGAAAGATCAATGATAGCATCGATCTAAATTGTATTCATTTACTTCAGCTCTTGTCAATGGTTTCTTTGGTGCTCTTCTGGGTATGTCTGAGAATTCAGTGATTGGCAGAATAGGAGATGCATGCTTGAAATTTCCAGTCACCCTATTGACAACCTGCCAAGATTCAAATTATTCAGACTCAGAATTATCCAAACATAACACAGACACTTAAAAAGAAAAGAAAGATATTTTATCTCTGTAATATTAGAAATTTTCCCTTAGTAAAGATTTAAGCAACAGAGCCTACAAACACAACTTAGTGCCTCACATGTGAAGCCTCATTCTTCAAATATTTTAACAAAAAATATCCTTATACTTTCTTGTACAATGAATTAGATTTCTTTACATAAATTGGATATTATAGGAAAATCCTAAAATTCAGAACTACATGGGGAAAATCCGTTTAAAATTGTTAAAAAAAAAAGTAAATTTGAGATTTGTGAAAATTCACCACCTCCCCATTTCCAATTAAAGGGTAATTTACAAAGAATACCACTTGTATAGTTTATGAAACATATTTACTAAGGATTCGTTGCTTGAAGCCATTATAGTTTCAGCTATGGGAGTACTCTCTGAAATTACTGGACCATCTATACGAAAATGTTCTGAAGTTTCCACCTGTTAGTTTGAAAACAAAACAAAAACAATAAATATAAAATAATACTAAAACCCTACCAATCTGAAAACCCAATTCTAAGGAATAAGCCTTGCATCACCCTTTTCCTTGGAGTTCTTCTTGACCCTCTTGTAGATTCCCTAGTTAATGCCTGCAGAGGTCCGCCTTTTGAAGATCCACTTGTCCATTCAGTTTCAGTTACTCCAGCTTGAGAATAGCTCTATTCAAGCATCAACACATTAAAAAGTCATATTCTAACACCAAATACTTTTATAACGGCCATACTGGCACACTGAGAAGCCAGGAAATAAGTCTCCAAATGCCAGCATTTACAAACGATGCTATGCTCTCAAAATATTCCTAAATGTATTAATTGAACTGATATTTAGGCATCAGAAAACACTTAAAAAGTGGTAAAATACACTGAAGAATCCACCTATAGCAGCTCACAAATTATCATAAAAATGATGGGGAAAAAAAAGCACATCAACTATCACCAGTTCCCTTTTTGACTCTCTGCTATTTGGTTCTAGTATTGGAGATACATCTCTGACTAAACAAAAAGCAGACTGATCATGACTTACAAGAAAGTCATCTATTATAAGTCAGTTTCCTTTTAGAACAAAAATACAAACTTTTGTAATTGTTAGCATAGACTAAACATTATTTTCATATGGTTAGAATCATTTTAGTAGAATCAGTTTAAATTATAATCCCACACATAGCTTACTTGAACTAAAAAATTCTCAGGTGTCAAACTTTTCTTGGAAACAGATACAAAATTAGGTAGCCACAAAAACCCTGTGGTCACTCTTTAATGAACACGTAAGCCTAATGTCACTTTCAAATCTCAACGCTATCCATGTCACTACAGAAAGATAGAAAACAGCTGTCTCAGATTCTCAATCTCAGATTAATTTCTACATTTCACTGGTCATTCCTCATTTTTAAAAATCCAGCATTTCTTACATACTAGTTTAAAACCCATTAGATCAGTTCTTCTTAAATTGTAATGTGCCTATCAATCACTTGAAGCTTTTGTTAAATGCAGATTCTGATTCTGTAGCTCTTGGGTAGGGCCCGAAATTCCACATTCCAAGTAGCAAGGTTTTCAGTTTTGAAGCCGCTATTACCAGATGATTCTTTTAAATTCTTTTAACTAGAGAACATTGGTCAATGATCAGTATTATAGTAGAGTGTGCTTCTGTTGTCACTTCTGCTTT